AAAAAAAAAAAAAAAAAAGTGATCCTGGGAGAAGAGAAGCTGCTGAGCACAAGGGCTGTCTGGTGCTGTGGCGGAAAGTGTTACAATGTCAGCCGCCACTGAGGGAGATACCCAGGCCGGGGTTGTGGGGCAGGACAGTCACACAGGCCTTCAGGTCTATCCACCTGCTATTTCCTAAATGATTACGGGCTCCTAGGCATTCATTCTTGTATGCCTGAAATAATTCACTAACTAGCTGACTTCCAAACCCCCTATGCCTCAATTTCCAGGTCCTTAGGACAAACCCAAGCTCTTTGCCTGGGCACTGAAGGCCCCTGTGAGGCCTGGGCCCTCCCCACTGACCTCTGCAGCCTCTCTCTTGTACCACCAGACTTGCTCCAGCTGTGCCCAGCCAGGAATGCCTTTCCCCACCGGATCTTTCTGGCTAAGTCCACGGCTACAGGAAGCTTCCAGGCAGTGGAGAAATGAGGTCAGACTTGACCTTTAGAGGGGCCTTCTGGATCCCCCTGGGGTGGGCAGGCTGAAGAGGGAAGCAGGGAGAGACCTGCCCATGGCCAGCTGCGCAGCCTGGCGCCTCGGGCCCTTGCCCTCTCGCTACACTCCCTTGGTAGCCGTGGAGTTGTCATGAGGTCTCAACTCTAGCTCTTGAAGAACAGAATGGGGACAAGTGAGCAGGGTGGCTCTCAAAGGCCAAATGACAACCCAGGACCCCCATTCACTTGGCCCCCATCATACTCAGAGGCATCGAGGAGAGCTGGGAGAAATGACAGGGCACCCAAGGCCTGGGGAGGGGAGGAGCCAGGGCCGAGGCTGGGCAGAGGGGGGTGGGGAGGGCCCAGACCACACAGGGGCCTTCAATGCCCAGGCAAAGAGCTGGGCCCTCCGATAGACCCACAAGGCTGCAGCCCTGGAGTGCTGCTGGCGCGATCCCTCCCCCACCAGCACAGAACATCGGGTTTGCCAGGACCCCTACGATAAGCCGCAAGGTTGCACCCCTACAGTGCCGCTGCCCCCCCCCACTCCCCCACCAGCCCAGACCCATAGGGGTCCACCAGGATCCTCTCCAATAGTCTCCCAAGGCTGCAGCCCTGTTGTGCCACTGGGCCAACCCCTTTCCCACGAGAACTGACCAAAGGGGTCCGCCAGGAACCCTCCGATAGGCCCGAAGCCAGGACCCCCGGAGTGGTGCTGGCACGACCCCTCCCCCCGCCAGCAGAGACCATAGGATATGCCAGGACCTCCTCCGATAGGCCCCCAAGGATGCAGACCTGGATTGCCACTGGCACGTCCCCTTCCCCACCACAACAGACCCACAGGAGTCGGTCAGGACCTCCACCGATAGCCCCCTAAGGCTGCAGCCCTGGAGTGTCCCTGGGCCGAACCCTCCCCCACCAGCACCAGGCCCCCAAGGCTGGAGACCAGGAGTGCCGCTGTAGCGACCCCTCCCCCGCCAGCACAGACCAATACGGGCTGCCAGAAACCCTTGCATAGGCCCCCAAGGCTGCAGCCCTGGAGTGCCGCTGGCCCAACCCCTCTGCCGCCAGCACAGAACATTGGGTTCCACAGGGCCACCTACGAGAGGCCCCCAAGTCTGCACCCCTGGAGTGCTGCGGTCTCGGCCCCTCCCCCGCCAGCACAGACCAATAGCGGTCTGCCAGTACCCCACTGACAGGCCCCAAGGCTGCAGCTCTGTTGAGCTGCTGGGCCGAACCCTCTCCCACCAGCACATACCATAGGGTCCGCCAGGACTCCCTCAGATAGGTCCCCAAGGCTGCAGCCCTGGAGTGCCACTGGCCCAACCCTCCCCGCCAGCACAGAACATTGGGTCCCACAGGACCACCTACGAGAGGCCCCCAAGGCTGCAGCCCTGGAGTACAGTTGGTCTGACCCCTCCCCTGCCAGCACAGTCCCATAGGGTCTGCCAGGACCCCCTCGGAGATGCCCCAAAGGCTGCAGTGCCGCTGTCCCGACTTCTCTCCCGCCAGCAGAGGCCGTAGGGGAAGAAAGAAATGAGCAGTCGAGCCACAAAAAGACACAGGAGAAACTAAAATGCATTCTAAGTGAAAGAAACCAAACTGGAAAGGCTTCCTACTTTATGATTCAAATTAGATGATGTGTGGGTAAGATAAAGCCACAGGGAGGGTAGAAAGATGAGTGGTTGCCATGGGTTCAGGGAGAGAGGGATGAGTAGGTAAGGCACAGGGGAAGTTTGGGGAGCAGTGAAACTATTTGCATTTTGTAATGAACACATGACATCATGCATTTGTCAAAACCCGTGGAACTTTACAGCACAAAGGATGAACCACAGTTTATGCAATTTTAAAAAATCACTTAGGATGTTGGTGGAATCTCAAGAAGGCATGCAGACTGTGACAAGAGAATCTCGCTGAAGGGAGTACGGGAAAGGTGGAGACCTGCGTAACTCTGACGATGAATGGGCGTGTAAGGCCAAAGGCCAAAGGAGCTGCACAAGAGCACGTGCTTCAAAAGGCTGCCTGTCACAGAGGTGTGGGCGAGCGATTCTGATACTATTATACTTACACACTCAGATGGAGCAACTAAGAACCTAGGTGGCGGACGGTGGGATCCAAGTTCTCACTACTGGAGGAGGAGCCCACAAGCAGGCAGCACAGGAGGCCGGAACACCCACACGGTGACGGACCAGAGTCGGGACATTCAGTAAGATTCAATGTGTACCTCAGTGTAAATGCAGATGGTTGTACATATAGAAATAGTTATGATATATGTATATACATGGGTTAAATACATGTCTTTGTTTAATCAGCTGAGCTGAAAAGGCTTAAAATAAATGACTCCCACTAGCAACAAGCACACCTAGTGCCCCTATTGGGGTTTCTAATACCATTCTGTAATGAAAAGAATAAAAAATCCTGGGAGAATTGGCTGTATGTAGGACTAGTGCTGGAGATAGTCAATAACGAAGTAGCCACACACACACACACACACACACACACACGCACACACGTGTAACTATTTAGCCACTCCTAAATAGCGTTCACAGCTAGCTGAATCATTTTCTCCAAGTGGTACTTGTTTCAATGTCCCAAGACATTAAAAATGATTAAAGTCTAATGACCCAAGTCTTGTTTCTCCTGTAAAAGTGGAACTTTTTTTGATGCTGTAGCTTTTTCTTTATGTGGATAAAATGAATGTTCCTGTGGCCAGGATTCCCACCTGGCCCTGGCTGGCTAGCTCACTACATACGTGTGGGCAATACATTGCTAAAGAGCTCCGCTAAGTGGTTCTGGGCGACACAGTGGCACGACTGCAAGGCTGCAAGAGAGCGAGCAGAGGCTGGAGTGGTGGCGGCGCCAAGGACAGAGGCCCAGGGGACGGCTGTGTGGGTAGCAGGGCCCCGAGACAGAGACCGGCTTGCTGCACGCAGACTCGCTCTGAGTGAACGGGGTTCTAGTGACTGACCTGCCACCGTGGAAA